GATTGGTTAGTCATAAATGGTTATGAATTAGAATATGTGAAAAATGAAAGGAAAAGGGTGACAGCAGAATGCAAAACTGAAGGCTGTAATTGGAGGATCCATGCCTCTGTTGTGCAGGGTGGTCCAACATTTCAGGTACTACTGTGTTTCAAACTTATAATAAGTATTTTCTTATTGCTTTTACGTTTGGCATTATGGTGTTAATGTTTCTTTCATTGCAGATCAAGAGCATAACTGGAGAGCACACATGTTAAAAAAAAAAGAGTTAACAAGCATGCATCTTCAAAATACATTGGACAGAGAATGGAACAAGCCATTAAAGACAATCCAGATGTCACTATTACCAATCTTGGAAATTCTGTGATGAGGAAGGTGGGTATAGAAGCTGGCTATTGGAAGACTTTGAGGGCAAAAAATGCTGCAATCAATAAAATTAGAGGGCTGGATGCTGAAGAATACACTTAACTCTGGGATTACTGTGAGACTGTAAGAAGCAAGAATCCAGGAGCTAAGTTACTGCTCAGAAAGGTGTTATATTCAGACCCCCCTGTGTTTGAGAGGATGTACTTCAGCCTTCCTGCAATGAGAATGGGATTTCTATCAGGGTGTAGGCCATTAATTGGGCTTGATGGATGTTTTCTTAAAACAGTTCATGGTGGGCAGCTGTTGTGTGCTGTTGGGAGGGATGGGAATGACAACTTGTTTCCAATTGCCTTGGCTGTGGTTCCAGTGGAGAACAGAGAAGCTTGGAACTGGTTCTTGGGAGAGCTGCTTGATGAAATTGGAGGTGTTCAAGAAAGGAAGTGGACATTCATTTCTGACAGGCAAAAAGGTCTTCTTGAAGCAATAAAGGACCTTGCCTCTGGATGTGCTCACAGATTTTGTGTGAGACACATTTATCAGAATTTCAAGCAAAAGTGGCCATCCTTGGAATTAAAAACAATGCTGTGGAGAGCTGCTTCAACAGGGAACAAGAATGAGTTTGAATCAAAGATGGTTGAGCTAAGGAGATTGGACAAAGATGCAGCAGAGTACTTGAGAAAGATACCAGCTGAACATTGGGCCAGATCTTATTTTTCTACAAAATGCAGGTCTGATGTACTGGTCAACAATTTGTGTGAGTCCTTCAACAACTACATACTTGAAGCGAGGGAGAAGCCCATCATTAGTATGTTTGAATGGATAAGAACCAGATTGACAACTAGAATTCAGACAAAAAAGGCTGGTATGGAGAAGTATGCAGGAACTATCTGCCCTAATATCTTGAGGAAGATCAATAAGTCCCAGCAACTTGCAAGAAACTGTTATCCAAGGTGGTGTGGAAATGAGGAGTTTGAGGTGGATGCAAATGGTGTGAGATATGTGGTGGACTTAGCTAAAAGAGAGTGTACATTTGGCATATTTCAATTAAATGGATATCCATGTCCTCATGCCTGGTCTTGCATTGCAGAAAGAAGATACAAAGTTGAGGATTTTGTAGACACATGTTATAGGCAGGAAAATTACTTGAAAGTGTATGCCTATATGATACATGCAGTCCCTGGACCCAGAGATTACTTGAAGACCACTTATGAGCCACTTCAGGCTCCAAAATACCAGAAAAAAAAGGGAGACCAACCAGATTAAGAAGGAAAGCTCCAGATGAGATTCATAGGACCTCATACAGGAAGGGTTTGACACACACCTGTCAAAATTGCTTACGAAGAGGTCATAATAAGGGAACCTGCAAAAATCCTACAAATCCAAGGTCCAAACTTTATAAGGTAAATGTACATATCATTGATTTCCTTATTCAGTTCATTGATTTCCTTATTCAGAATAATACAAGTGCCAATATGGTTGTTTTATTGTGCTAGGGAAACTCACCAAGTGAAGAAGTGCAAACCTCTCAAAGTGCCCCTCCAAGTTCTAGTCAAGAACCAGTTACTCCACATCCAACTGGACCTTCATCTGCTGCAAATGCTCCTCCAGGATCCCTTCCACCCCATCCAAGTGGTCCTCCTTCTGGTCCTTTAGGATCTGTTCCAGTACCTGACAGTGGTCCTCATTCTGTACCTCCAAGACATGATCCAACACATGCTTCTGCCCCTCCAGGAAGGGTTAGTCTTTCTTTTATTCTTTCCATTGTTTGAACTGGTCATATTGCCTAGTATTTGTAACTGTTTAATTGCAATTGTAGATATACCAAGGAAGAAGAAATGATTCTTTACTAGGAAGAACCAAAAAATTCAAGAAACCAAGGCCAACAAATCAAGCACAAGCAACTATTCCACCCCTAAGTCAAGCACAAGCAACTGTTCCACCTCCAAATCAAGCACAACCAACTGTTCCACCTCCTACTGCAAAAACTGTTCCACCATCTACTTCAAATGCAACTTTTCAAGCTGGAAATTCAAGTCAAATTCATGTGCGCAAAAGAAAGCCTCAAATAGCAGAAGTCCTTCAGAATATTAGGAATGCTTCTAAGAAGAAGAGGCATTGGAAGCCTTGATCTATTGTAAAATTCTTTTGGATGTCTTTTGAAAGTTGAATGTTTTTTGAATCTGTAAAAGTCCTTTTGAATTGGTGATCTTTTGATAAACTTGTGATATAACTCTAGATGGTCTTTTGATGAACTTGTAACACCCTTTTGCTGGTCTTTGTATGACCTTTTGACTTTTTTCTGTTCATGAATTTGTCAGTAGATGAATTTGGATATATTTTGATGAAATTGTATGTTGGTTTGTTATTGTTGATTTCATTGGATTGTTGTTAATTAATTGTTACAGGGGGAGAAACATGTAAACAGGGAGGAATTTACTACATACTTATAAAATAGGGGGGTTTATGCTAATTGTTTACAACACAGGGTTTCTTTTGCTTATTTATAATTATACAGGGGGGTCCATGCTAATTAGTAAGTACAAATTCTGGGAATACAACAACCAAAACCAAAAGAACTGCAACATCACAAATTCGTAATAATACTTGAATACTTGAATAGATAACATCAAATTATCATTACAACATCTCAAACTCCTAATAATACTTGAATAAGTAACATCAAATTGTCATTACAACATCTCAAATTCCTAATGATACTTGAATAAGTAACATCAAATTGTCATTACAACATCTCAAATTCCTAATGATACTAGACTAAATAACATCATATTGTCAATATTACACTGATAGCAACAACTTGAACAACTAATACTACATTACAACTTATCAAAACAGGGTCATCAAGTAACATCAAATTGTCATTACAACATCTCAAATTCCTAATGATACTAGACTAAATAACATCAAACTGTCAATATTACACTGATAGCAACAACTTGAACAACTAATACTACATTACAACTTATCAAAACAGGGTCATTCATAACAGCTTCAAATCTTCAGTAGCAGCACCAAAACAATTACAAACAATGCTACGCATATAGCCCATGAAATTTGCAGCATAAATCGATATTTTTTTTCAGTAGAAGCTTGTGGAATAATTTCGTCGGCTTCATCAAATTCATTGGGCAACGGTTGTTCCCAACTAGGATTTTCCCAGCTTGGATATTGTACGGCTCGAATTGGCTCACACCATTAAAAAAACGTGCAACGACGAAAAACACAAGAATAATACAACCTTCCCCTTGATGGCTTCATTACAGCTTCAACCACCCTTATACATGATTTCATGTGGCATCTACAAAATGGATTAGACGGATACCTCAGATCTAAGCGTGGCTGCCTATTATGTGGCTCGCTTCTCCTCCTTGTCCCGGTGCTTGAT